AATACCAAACACAAAAAATTTAATTATTTTCTGTATGATGTATGCTGAAAAAAACGGACAAAAATATTTGGTAAACTAGTACCCTAAACAGGAGTTTACCATGAGCAAGAAAAGAGTAGAATACAGCGACACATTCAAAGCTGAAACCATCGCCAAAGTCAAAGAAAATAACGGCAACATCAGTCAAACGGCTAAAGAACTTGGCATACCCATGAACACACTAGCAAACTGGCATAGGAAGGCTGAAAGTGGCGTACTTGCAGGCACCCAAAATTACAATTCTGAACTCATAGCCGCCTTGGATGAAATCAAAGACCTTAAAAAACAACTAAAAATCGCTCAAGAAGAACGAGAAATCCTAAAAAAGGCAACGGCGTACTTTGCCAAGAACCAGTAGCCAAGTACGCCTTCATGCAGCAGAATCGGTTAAAGTTCAGCCTGACTTGCATGGCAAAGCTATTTGAAGTATCAATCTCAGGCTACTATGACTGGCTTAATCGTGGGATTAGCAAACGAAAACAGCACCATAATCGCTGTGAGATACTGGTCAAATCCGCTCATATGGATACACAGCAAAGCTATGGGCATGAACGGCTACATCAGTATCTAATCAGCCAAGGGCATAATATTAGCCCCTACATGGTGCGTCAGATTAAGCAAGAACATGGGATTTACTGCAAACGCCACAAACGATTTAAAGTCACTACTGACTCAAATCACAACAAGCCTGTTTATTCAAACTTGCTAGAACAGCAATTTGATGTGACGGCACCCAATGTCGCTTGGGTCAGCGATATTACCTATATTTGGACCAATGAAGGCTGGGTGTACCTAGCAGCGGTCAAAGACTTGTACAGCAAAGAGATTGTGGGATATGCTCTAAATAAGCGTATGACCGCTGATTTGGTTTGTAAGGCTCTAAACAATGCCATTAAGTACAAACGCCCTGCTCGGGGCTTAATCGTGCATTCTGACAGGGGTAGTCAGTATTGTAGCCATCAATACCGCCAAATCATTCAAAAGCATGGCTTTGCTGGCTCTATGAGCCGAAAGGGTAATTGCTACGATAATGCCCCGATTGAGAGCTTCTGGGGTCAGTTAAAAAATGAGCTGGTTTACCATAAAATTTATGAAACTCGTCAGCAAGCCATTGCTGATGTCAGAAGGTATATTGAGATTTTTTACAACCGTCAAAGAATACAAAAAGGGTTAGGATTTAAATCACCTGCTCAAGTGTTCCAAGACTTTTACCGTCAGGCTGCTTGATGAAATCTACCAAGTGTTTTTCTCCGTTGTTGACAGCAGGGGTCAGTAGGGTGGGTTTTACCCACCCAT